TATATATATATATATATTGCGAAGCAAGTAAAATTTGCAGTATTTGCATATTTGAAATAAAAACCGAAGTGATAGAGAATTGGAATTGCAAAATAGTTGCTTTGCGATGTTCACGTGCGAGAATCTCTTTAACGACGCTTGGATTAGTGCATATCGCGCTTCGAATTTTTCACCTTTTCCTGTAATTCATCAGATTGAGATCGCGGAGTAATGCGAATCAACCGAGCGATGCAAGCAACGGAGAGCTGTGAGGTACGTAGTATATGTATATAAATGATTAATTTAGGATGCAAGGAAGGAAATACCCAGTATACCTCTACAGCGTATGTTCTCGTGTGAACTGAATGATACCTACTCTGCTACAAGCTGGCTGATGCTCAATGCCTGGCGTTCGTTTGATAAGCTACAGTGTGTTGTTTGTTTTTACAAAGTCGGCCCTGCTATCGTTCGGTATACTGAGACTCGAGCGGGTAGAAAAAGGCGCGTGCCCTTCCTGGATCACAACATTCGAGCCTTTTACCTAAAACACACCAACACATACGTAATACGAGATACATGAGACGGACTCTACAAAAAGTTAGTGATTATTTTCCGAGCTTACCCTTCGAAGTTGAAGTGGATTTATTGGATCCGCTCAATAAGCTCTTTGTAAAAAGTTCGATTTTGTAATGCTATATTTGCCAAACGAAGACTCCGTATTAATTAAGTGGAAAATTGGGTTCCAATGACAGACTCAGTGTCAGTAACTGTTACAGATTTTCGCGCGTCAGTTTCGAAGAGTTAATTATAGCGAGTGTTAATTCGATGCAGATATTTCGTGTAATTTACTTACTTGTGATAGAAATTGGAAGCTCTCTCGGGAGGATAGATTATTATTTTTTTTCTCCATCGCGATGCTCGCACGGGCGAGAATCTCTTTTGACGACATTCGAATTTGCGCATATCGCGCGTCACGTTTTTGAATTTTTCACCAATTTCGATGTAACTCATCCACTGGATTGAGAGCGCCGAGTAACACGGCAAATCGTCTGTGTCGAGAAATAGGTTATGGAAAAATACTGGCATATTCAAAGTAAATAATTACCGCGGAACGCGGGAAATTGCGCGTTCGCGATGTATTTCGCGAAGCACGTAAAATTTTTTGTATTTCGCAACATACGTTGAACGTTCGTGGAAAAACGACGAGGTACGTACCGGCGGCGTTGTTTTTTTTGCGCGCGTACGACGCGCGGTTTGTTGACACGACCTCGTTTGGAATCTGTGCCGCTCAGTGCGTCGTCGATGTCGTCACACTACTCCTCGAGCCTCTGACGCGTCGTTACGTTACTCCTTGAGCTCTCCGTGCGTCGTCACATTAAGATGTGTCTGTGTGTAATTCGGCGAGTAGTTTGCAAATCGCAAAACGTAGGTCGCAAACGCCGACGCGAGAATTACGATCACCGCGCGCAAGATGCACGCAGGAGGAAAACCAAAACTGCATGCGATGGAAAAACAAATGCAAATCTTCGTTCCGCGTCTGCGTTTGTGAACTACGTTTTGCGAATGACGTAGAATAGCAATGGAGGCACTGTAATTCTTCGAGCCCTCGCGACGCACGATCAATCCATAGATGTAATGTATCTAGACTGAGCATTCCTTCTGAAATTTGGGGAGTGGGGATTCGCTGTTTGCGCCGCGATTAGCGAACGAGAGGGGGGGATGAAATAAATACGCCCTTTTCCACCGGCGGTATTCATTGTTTGTTCTCACTTCAAAACAAGACCTACAAATTGCTTTTTCTGCCGAACGAATAATAACGACGGGTTTGATTTGGGGATAATTTCTGATTGATGATTTTACATTTATTTTTGATATCTCTAATGGCTTAATTTACATTGATTTTTAAGATTTTGAGTCATCTCTGATTGATCGTAAGAGTTTATGTGATTGCACATCCATAACAGTGTAAGAACACACCTGTGTCGTAAAACACTTTTTATACATTAATATATATAAATATGTATAAACATATTATTCATAGATACGTATTCATGATACAAATATTCATAAATATGTATAATTATATATGAAATATGTCTATACATATTCATACATCCCTTTTTCTTTTGTAAAATTACTTTTTAGTAACAGAAATAACAATAGTTAATGTGAAAACATAAAAAATAATTAAAGGGATAATTTTCGCATTTTTTCGTTTTAGAAAAAAATAAGTTTGGAAAAGTGTTAAAAAAAATTGCTCATCAATTATGCATAATTTTATATATAAATTATACATGAGTAATTTTTTTACATTTCTTCAAACTTGATTTTTTTTCTAAAATAAATAGTGTAAAAATTACCCTTTTAATTATTTTTACATTACTATTGTTATTTCTATTACATTAAAAAGTAATTTTATAAAAGAAACAAGGATGTATGGAACATGTATGAATTTTTCATATAAAATTATATATATTTATGAATATTTATGTATGTTTATACATATTTATACATACATTTATGCATGAACAATTTTTTACCGGTTATATTCATAATCGAATCCTATATTTAAGATGTACCCCATCTTAAGATGTCATAATCAGAGAACTGCCTTAATATCTTAAGATATTTTTTGAGACATTTCTTAAGGTTCTCTAAAATAAGGATGGACTATGTATAAAAAATACCGTCTATATATTTATTTCGTTTTAAAGTGCAAAAAATTTGAGATTTCAAGGAACAACCTGATAAACCTATAATCTCGACCGAGAAATTTCTTCGATATTGCGCAGGCTCACATATTTCGCTCCTTGTAAACTTTTCATCGCTAGACTTGTCCATTTGT